TAATGATGCCCCATAATCCCCTCCCTTCTGTAAATGAAATTTAACCACACCCACTGTTCACTGCAGTGCACATAGGTGCCCGAGGTCTTTAACAATCCTTTAGTTTATACTACAAAATGCACCAATAAAGTGTGCAGATTTGGGGGGACACAGGGGGCCCCATGATCTCCTATTGACCGGGGGCCCCATGAGTTGTCAGTCCGCCCCTGATGACGAACTGACATTTGTATCTACTGAAGCCGAAGCAGTCAGTCTCCTGCAGAGTACTAGGGAGATGATTGTAGGATCCAGTCTTAAGCTACACAAGGTGGTATCCAATAGATGCTCAGTAATGGAAGCGTTTCCTGCAGATGACAGAGCTAAAGAGTTAAAAGACCTTGTTGTAGGTGTCAATCCTCTGCCCCTTCAATGGAATTTAGGAGTAAGTTGTAATCTCCAGACTGACAGCTTTACCTTTCAAGTGTCCAGAGAGGTGAAGCCATACACACAGAGAGGTATCCTACTAGTCACAATAAACAGTCTTTACAACCCACACAGGTTTGCAGCCCCAATCATTATGTAAGGCAAAGCCTTAGTTAGAGAGCTCTCAATAGATCAATGTGGCTGGGACTCCCCACTCTCGCCAGAAAGAGAAAGATCTCATTATTCCCAGACCCTATGTGCCAGTGTCGCTAACATCTACAGTGCAAAGAGAAGTATATTTCTTTTCTGATGCTTCTAGTGTGCTGTTAGCAGCTGTAGAATATCTCAAGGTCATAGACAGTAATGGTTAATGTCATGTAGGCTTTATTATGGGGAAATGTAAACTAGCTCTGAGACCAGCCCACAAAGTTCCACACTTAGAGTTATGTGCAGCCGCTTTGTCAGTTGAGCTAGCAGAACTGATTCTTGAAGAAATGGACTTTGAGTCTGATACTGCAGACATGGCTAAGAATTAGAAACACCCTCTTGTAATTCCAGCCAACCATCACTCTGTTAGCCAGACGCTACCATGAGGAAGTAGCACATCAACTCTGTCATTTTACCAAAGGTGTACTACACTCAGCAGGGTTATGGTTCATTGGAGCTAAAAAAATGAATTTCTAGTGTTGTCCATAAGTGTACCATCTGCAGGAAGTTCAGAGGAAAAAGATGCAGGAACAGAAAATGTCAGATTTCCCACCAGACGGACTTACCGTAGCTCCTCCATTCTCATATGTAGGACTTGATATATTTGGGCCTTGGAACCAGGGGTGGACTGACAACTCATGGGGCCCCTGGGCAATAGGGGATCATGGGGCCCCTGTGTCCTTGCCCAAACTCAAAAAAAAAGCCTATGAAAAAGGTACCAGGGGCATCTTATGGGGCCCCCTACTGACCCCGGGCCCTCGGGCAGTGCCCGAGTTTCCAAATGATCAGTCCGCTCCTGCTTGGAACATAACATCTGATTATACTAGGGCACCCTCTACAGACAGTAAAAGATGGGCTGTGATTTTCACTTGTTTAAATACTAGAGCAATTCATTTGGAAGTGTTTGAATCAATGTCATCTTCAAGCTTTATTAATGCATGGAGAAGATTCCAGTCTAGGGTTGCCTTCTCATCCCTTTAAAAGCAAATACATATTAATTATACAGGTTCTGAAGCTAATTTAATGCAAATAAGGTACTAGGTGAGTATAATTACCACCTTAATCAGCCACAGAACCTGTGTAATTATTATGTGTTTGGTTTTAAAGGGGTGAGGTGGCAACCTTATTCCTGTCCCTCCTTGAACCAGACAAGCAATTATGAACTGACAAAAGAACACACCTTCGTAGGAGCCTGCAAGGATATCCAAATACACTCATACTGGATCCTGAGATCCAGAATTACCTTCTAGGTCAGAGATGCGCTTGGACCTTCAATACCCCGCACTCATTTCATATGGGAGAAGTGTAGGAGAGAGAATGATTGGCATAGCTAGACCATTTCTAGACTCAATGTTGATGCAAAACAAAAACAATCGATTGTCGCATGAAGTCCTCACTACATTGTTGGCTGATGTTACACCCATAATGAATGCTAGGCCATTGGTTTCCATTTCAACAGACCCAGAAATTCTTACACCACAAATGCTCTTGACACAGAAGGCGTGTGCAGTATTAGCTCCACCTGGTGAGTTTACCTTAAAAGATCTTTATAAGTGCCAGTGGATGCAGGTTCAGAACCTTGCTGATACCTTTTAGAAATGCTGGAGGCATGAGTATTTGTCATCCTTCAAAACAAAAGGAAAGTGGAAAGAGGAGAAACCAAATGTTCAAGTAGGAGACCATATTTTATTGAAAGACTCTCAAGTGAAGAGCAATGTATGGCCAAAGAGTCTTATTATGAAAGTAATTCCCAGTGGTGATGGTAAAATTCACAAAGTAGAGGTTAAAATCATCAGTCAGGGAACTGCTATAGTATACCTCCGACCTGTATACCTGCAGGTTAAATATACTGTAAATGCTAAGACAAAGTGAACATTTGTTTTTAGGAACATGTTGGCAAAGTAAGGGGCCTGAGGGCAGTTGGATCATCTCTAAGTGTCTGACCACCCACTGGTGTCTGTCTGCACTTTTAGGCATTAACACTGAGATTACCTGCTACATACAACTAAACATCCAGTCTGGACCTGTTTTTGGTGTAAAGTAATATTAAAACTCAGGTTTTGTAAGAACTTTTTAGCAGCTCATTTAATAACTTAGAGAGTATGCAGCTTCTTTATTTTGCATCCTTGTCTGTGTTCTTTTTTAAGCTGGTGCCACAAACACTTCATATTTCAGGGTGACACCTTTTTCTTGCATCATCCTATGGAGCCACTTTTGTATGTAAGGACTAGAGATGTATTTCCCTGTACATCAATAGAAACACACAGTCCATGGCCTAGGATGGCAAGACATTCCCCTGCTTCTTCCTCCTCCTCCCAACTAAAAGACTGCCTTCAGAGTGCACTGTCCACTGTTAACTCTTTCCTGTGAAGACCAGATGATCAGGGAAGTAGCAATGAGAGAGCAGGAGCCAGCAGCATTGAAAGTTGTAAACTGCAAGGGCTGGTGTAAGAATTGTAACTGATACTGGGTTTACTGGGTCATGGTTATTTTATTGTGCTCAATACAGAGGTGCTGATAGGGGGTATCACCAGCCCTCCTGTAGCGGGCCTGGCCCTGCCAGCTCAGCAGGAAGAGGGGTGGAAGTAGACCTGGTAGGGATACCCAGATTTTGTCTCACCAGAGTGTTAACCCTTGCTGTGCAGCTATTTAAAAAAAAAAAACCTTTTCGAGGCTCAATGTGTTCAGTTGGGACTGGGGGACAGAAAGCAGACTAATCACTTTCGGGCTTAGACGGATCAATCCGCAGCAGTGCTTCCGGCCGGCCCCAGTGTATTGATACAGAAGAGGCCAGGCTTCAATGTAATTGTTTAGAGCACTGCGGATTAATCTGCCTAAACCCCTGCATTCTATGCATTCCCCACTCGTGCCCCTGAACTATGTACATTACTTAGTCATGACCCCTGAACTATGGATCTTACCCACTCCTGACCACTGAACCATGTACATTACCCACTCCTGACCTCTGTACTCTGTATAGTAAACACTCCTGACCCCTGCACTATGTATATCCCCGACCCCTGTACTCTTGACAACTGCATTTTGTAAATTATATACATACACCTGATACCTACCCTCCCAATTTTAGTGCAGTTTTGCTGCACCCACATTTCTCCAAGGCATACAGTCCACACTGCTGCCTTCGTCTCCACTTGCTGCCTGTGGGCTATGGGGAGGGATGGTCGGGCTCAGGCCCCCAGCCCTGTTAGGCTGTACGGGGACTTATTTCTAGCAGCGGCCCTGGTTTAATGTGTTAAGCTAAAAGGCACTGAAAGTTTAATCCTGGCTCCCTGTCTTGAGCAATTATGCTTAGCACTTTTTTTTTATTGAACAGTCACACTAACCCAACATAAATATGCAGATCAAGAAATTCAGAAAAATGTCTTTATCTGCACACCTGCATGTTTGTTCCAGGTCACTGATTCAGGGCTACTTCAAACCACAATCTCTACATTCAGTGTGTGTTTCCACATGCACGTTTATACATTTTAATGCGTTTGTAATGTGTTCCAATGCATTTTTTCTTTCCTTTTTTTTTAATTTGAAAAAGGTGTTTATGTGCGTTCCAGTGTATTTGCCTAGGTTCACACCTAAGTGTTTTCCACAGCACAGTACAGTCCATTTAACATGATTTCCTATGGGACACATTCACATCTCCGTGTTTTCACCCAGTGCGTTTTTTAGAAAGGGTCATGGACTTTTTTTAACGCAAAAAGTTGCATTTTTGGTTCTATAGACTTCAGTGGAAATGCTGCAGAAATCATGTAGTGCATTTTTGCCTCAATTTTGATGTGTTTAGCATTTTACATCTGCCTAGAAATCAGAAAAATGTAAGAAAAAAAAGCTAAACGCATCAAAAATGCAAGTGCAAAACGCAACGCAAAATGCAGAAACGGCTCAAACATAAACTGCATAGGTGTGAACCTAGCCTTATTGCGTTTACATGTGCTTACACATGTTCTGGTGTAAAAAAAAAAAAATGCATTTAAAAATACATTTTTTTAAAAGCGCTGGAACTGAACACAGTGGTGTGAACTAGGGTAACTGGAAAACATTTTACTGTGTATGTGTTCAGGTTGCATTTAAAAAAACACACCTGAAAGCATCTGGCATGAACAAGCCTTCAAAGTAATCAAGCAAGAAAGCATAGCAGCCAGATGACTAGCCTTCATATTTCATTTTCTAATGACAGTTTTATTTTAGGAGTTTAAAGTGTTACTAAACCCACACCAGTAAAATCAGACTGGTATAACATGCTTGTTATACTCACTGTGAAACCTAAGGGGTTAATCCTCTGCATTGTGTAAAAAGGCTGTTTGATCCTTTCTTCCCTGCCCCTCCTCTTGTTGAAATGACCACCTGATACAGACTGAACCCGTGGTCACATGCAGATGCTCAGTTTGGTGTGCATTGCTAGAGAGGTTTTTTTTGTTTTTTGTTTTTTTTTGGGAGGGTGCATGTGATCAGCACAGGGCCAATCAGCACTGTCCAGACAGAGGGTCAGAGGTTTCACATCCTCCTAGAGCAGAAAGAAAACTCCTCCTACAAGCTTTAACCAGTGCTCTACTGAAGTCACAAAACTGCTCTAACTGCTGATGAGAAAGGGTATTTCGCCGTTTATATTTGCTAAAATAATTGCACTTCCATGTCCTGTGTACTGTGGGAGACCAGATATAGTAGATGCAGGGTCCTGGGTTTAGTAACACTTTAACTACACACAAGTATTCATCATTACCGTACTTGTTTGTTAACCCCATCACTACAATACCTACATATCACTAGCAGTGTTGGCCATGTTGTGTACACACAGTCGGGCTTTGGAAATGCATAATGAATAATAAATTTCTTAGTAATTTTGCAGCATCTGTACAAAGGAGGAATTATTTGTGCTACATTTGATATGAATGGACACTGCATGTGCAGTGCAATAAAGGAGTGCAGAACGGATGGCAGTAAGACATTTCTCTGCCATGACTCTCACTATGACATGTCCCCTGCAGTGTTCAACATACAATATTTGCTACGCCAAGCCAAAAAAATTCTCTGCATCTCATGGATAGTGGAACTGTTAGCAACTGGAACAAAGGCATAGAGAGCACAGCCTAAAATGTTTTTGTTGTCTTACTTATTGTAAGGATTCGCTGTCACACAGAAAAAGGCAGAGACTTTTAGAAATATACAGTCTGGGGGGTTCATATAGAGTGTCATAGATACTCATAGATACTCTTTAGAATTTCCTCGCTACCCTGCGCGGCAAACACCGGTGAAAGGTGTTGGGAACGGGCACATGAATCTCTCACACGGAGGGGTGCGGCGCTGTGGCCTGTGGTGTATTTACCACAAGGCAAACAAGGCACTTGCCTAGGGCGGCATTTTTTAGGGGGGCAGCACCTCCTCCCAGAAGAAAGGATGAAAAGGGATACGCGCACCATGGGAACCAGGTGAGATCTGAGAGAGGCTGTGGGCTGCTTGATGGTTTATGTAGAGCTTGACTCTCGTTCCCGGGGATGTCAGGGCTGTGAAGATAAGGGGGAGGAGGGGGTGTTGGTCAGTGTCCATAGGGACAGACAGACGATTTTTTGTGGTGCCTAGGGCAGCACAAAACCTAAACAGACCACTGGCTGTGGCCGGATTGTCCATACTGTGAACATTCTGTTCTCTGTGCAAGTTCTGTCCTTTGCTAGCTAGGACACTGTCAGCTAGAAATTTGGAAGGATGTATAGCAGTGTTGAATGCTAAGTTCACCTTTGGAACACGTTACATGTTCCACCTGTATTTAGAGTGGTATATGTAACATGTTCCAGCTCCTACTTCCTCTCCCCCACTGCCTGTGACAGCGGGCGGGGGATCTTCCTGAGAGTCTGCAGGAGCCTGGCAGTGCACCCACAATCTGCTGGTCGTGGGTGCAATACTTTACAGGTTCCAGTGTAAAAAAAAAAATAATAAATACATATTTTTTTAACTGGCAAAAAGATGTCCACTTATTATCTTTTTTTTATAAAAGATGAACTTATCCTTTAATTCAGAATGTTCAAAATTCAAGCAATATCCCTGCTGACATAGGCTAATTAGCTGGATGGATTTGGCTGCTTGCAGGCACTCTCTCGCTGACTCCACTCCACAGCCATTAATGTCTAAACCTTTTCTGGCAACAGAAATGAGTACACTCCTAAGTGAAAATGTCCAAATTGGGCCCAATTAGCCATTTTCCCTCCCCGTTGTCATGTGACTCGTTAATGTTACAAGGTCTCAGGTGTGAATGGGTAGCAGTTGTGTTAAATTTGGTGTTATCGCTCTCATACTGGTCACTGGAAGTTCATCATGGCACCTCATGGCAAAGTACTCTCTGAGGATCTGAAAAAAAGAATTGTTGCTCTACATAAAGATGGCCCCTAGGCTATAAGAAGATTGCCAAGACCATGAAATTGAGCTGCAGCACGGTGGCCAAGACCATACAGCGGTTTAACAGGACAGGTTCCACTCAGAACAGGCCTCGCCATGGTCAACCATAGACGTTGAGTGCACATGCTCAGCGTCAGATCCAGAGGTTGTTTTTGGGAAATAGACGCTTGAGTGCTGCCAGCATTGCTGCAGAGGTTGAAGGGGTGGGGGGTCAGCCTGTCAGTGATCAGACCATACACTGCACACTGCATCAAATTGGTCTGCATGATTATCATCCCAGAAGAAAGCCTCTTCTAAAGATGATGCACAAGAAAGCCCGCAAACAGTTTGCTGAAGACAAGCAGACTAAGGACATGGATTACGGGAACCATGTCCTGTGGTCTGATGAGACCAAGATCAACTGATTTGGTTCAGATGGTGTCAAGCGTGTGTGGCGGCAACCAGGTGAAGAGTACAAAGACAAGTGTGTCTTGCCTACATTCAAGCATGGTGGTGGGAGTGTCATGGTCTGGGCCTGCATGAGTGCTGCCGCCACTGGGGAGCTGCAGTTCATTGAGGGAACCATGAATGCCAGCATGCACTGTGACATACTGAAGCAGAGCATGATCCCCTCCCTTTGGAGACTGGGCCACAGGGCAGTATTCCAACATGATAATGACCCCAAACACACCTCCAAGATGACCACTGCCTTCCTAAAGAAGCTGAGGGTAAAGTTGATGGACTGACAAAGCATGTCTCCAGACCTAAACCCTATTGAGCATCTGTGGGGCATCCTCAAATGGAAGGTAGCAGAGCACAAGGTCTCTAACATGCACCAGCTCCGTGATGTCGTCATGGAGGAGTGGAAGAGGACTCCAGTGGCAACCTGTGAAGCTCTGGTGAACTCCATGCCCAAGAGGGTTAAGGTAGTGCTGGAAAATAATGGTGGCGACACAAAATATTGACACTTTGGGCCCAATTTGGACATTTTCACTTAGGGGTGTACTCACTTTTGTTGCCAGAAGTTTAGACATTAATAGCTGTGTGTTGCGTTATTTTGGGGGGACAGCAAATCTATACTGTTATACAAGCTGTACACTCACTACTTTACATTGTAGCAAAGTGTCATTTCTTCAGTGTTGTCACATGAAAAGATGTAATAAAATATTTACAAAAATGTGAGGGGTGTACTCACTTCTGTGAGATACTGTATATTTATATTATTGTATATACAGAATTTACAAAAAATGTCCTTACTTTTAATGGTGAACTTCCTTTTGAGCATATACTAATTGGATAACCCTAAACATGAAGCTATGAGAACAGATGTCTGAATTCCAAGTCAACACACACACTGAGAGGTGCTAAGTGCTCAGCAGACTTTGTAGAGTGAATATTAGGGAGAAGAAACAATGTGTGTAAATAAGATTTCTTACCATCTGGGCATCATCTTAGGCGTTTGTAGCAGCGACTCCATAAATAGAAATCATTGGGCCGTATTGATTATCTCTGACAGGACCCAGCCAATGGGTCATTCCAAGACATAACTAGCCGAAGAAAAGAAAGTGCTCTATGAAAGTGTAAAACTTACTCACAGTGACATTCCTGGTTTATTGTAATCATATCATAAAAGGTGAAACTAATTGTTCACTATGGACAAGATCTACACTGTTCTTACCATAGGCCAGGCTATGCCTTGTGGGGTTCTTTGCATTAAGGTAAGAAACCTTTTTTGTACAGCTCCCCTCCCAGCCCGAGCTCAGTCCAGTGTTGTGCTTGAGAGCAACATCTCTCTTCTCTCTCTCTCTCCTCACTAGATAGAAAGGCAGCAGCAGGAGCCATTGGGTCCTGCTGCTGTCAATCACAGCAATTGAGGAGGGAGTGGTGGTTGGGGCCAAGCCACGCTTTCTGTATCAATGGGTATGCAGGGTGTCTCGGTATCGAGCCCACACAAGTGCTCCCATAGCAAGCAGCTTGCTATGTGGGCACTCAATGGGGGGGGGGGGAGCCAGGAGCACTGGCACGGGACCCCAAAAGAAGAGAATCACGGCCTATTGCACAGAGCAGGTAAGTATGACAGTATGGTTTATTTTTTACCACTTGAGTGCTGAAAGATTTTGCCCCTTCATGACCAGGCCATTTATTGCTATTCGGCACTGCATTATTTTAACTGGCAACTGTGCAGTCATGCAACGCTGTACCTAAACAAAATTTATATATTTTTTTTCACACAAATAGAGATTTCTTTTGGTGATATTTGATCACCACTGGGTTTTTTTTTTTTATTATTTGAGCTAAAAATTAAAAAAAGACCAAAAAGTTTGAAAAAAACAAAACAATATTTTTTACTTTCTGCTATAAAACATATCCAATAAAAAATCTAATTTCTTAATAAATTTTGACCAAAATGTATTCTGCTATGTGTTTTTGATTAAAAAATCCCAATAAGTGTATATTGATTGGTTTGCATGACAGTCATAGCGCCTACAAACTTTGGTATATATACTGGAATTTGTATTTATTTATTTTATGCTACTAATGACGGAGATCAGCGGGACTGCAATACTGCGTCGGACAATCTGACACTAACTAATGCTGAGGGAAACTGACTCACTGACATCACCAGTGACATGAATACAGTGACCAGTGCATCTAGGACAATCAAGGGGTTAAATATGTGTGTGTAATGTATGTACAGTGTGCTGCTTTTACTAAATGGTCTCTCAGTTTCTCTTTGCAGGGATGAGAAACTGACAGATTGCTCCCTTGGTTCAGAGCTCTGTGTTTTTTACCAACACGAGCTCTGGGCTGTGATTGCACACAGCGGATCAGCAGGTCCTGGCCATGAATCATTGGCTGGGACTTACTGACAGGCTTCCGCGGTGTGCAATCACAGCGGGTGCCAGGCAGGTGCTTGCACATGTGCACCCTAAACCCGGAAGTAAGTGGCTGCCTAAAGCTGGCCATACACTACAAACCAAAAGCACAGTTAATACAAAATAAATGGTTTTGGTTTGCCATCACATTACATGTTTGGGAAATCCGAGGTCTAGTTCACCTCTGTGTGGTGCATTTTTAGCTTTTTGTATTTTAGGCACTTTTTACATGCGTTTTAGGCACTTTACCATTGAACACTAGAGAACGTGCGTTTTGATAAAAGG